CACTGGCCAATGGAAACTTGAAATTTATATGTCCTTCTGCTCCTCTGGCTGCACAGAGGGAGAAAAAAATCACAAATTTGCTGAGAATATACATCCACCAGGACACATCAGCCTTAAGTTAGGTGCTTGCTGTCTTTTGTTCTTCAAGAACTAGGACTCAGTGACACGACCGGGCTACAGCGATCTGCCTGAAACCTTCAATCATTCGACAAATGATGAAGTGGGAGCTGTGTCACTTCAGCAACTGCAAGGAACACCAACACTATCAAATAAGCACATACAGTGCAGGGATATAAGATATGGGGTGATATTTCAAGGGCTCCAAAAGTGACAGATTTTATGTTGAGGTATATCCACTGCATGGCTCCGCCTGATATTTCTTCAGGTACAGACGCTGTACATTATAAGATATTTATAGTCCATCAGCTTTCTTGCTGAAAGGAAAACATGTGAACATGTGCCAGATGAGCTTTCTGTGGAAGCCATAGCTTGTTTCTAAATAAATTATTACACCACCAGCTCTTTAATGAAATGACCTGGTCTGCCCCAATCTCTAGATGAAAGATGTGCTTTTGTACAAAAAGACTACTTTTGCTTTGGAAGATGGCAGAATGGGAAAGAAAACAAACATTCCTTGAGTGTCAGACACTAAGTGGGCCACACAATTTCACCAAACACTGATAATACGCTTGTAAGACAAGAACAATTATTCCCCCATTACAAAGGAGAGCATTTGAAGAGAGCAGATCACTCACCAGGCAATGTCATACCAAGAAATGGTAGGAACAAGATTTGAAAATTTAAGTCTTGGGCCCAGCATGGTAGCCTAGTGGCTAAAGACTTCACCTTGTATGCCTGGGAACCTACACTGGGACTGGTTCTTGTCACAGCAGCTCCACTTCCCATCCAGCTTCCTGCTCACAGCCTGGGAAAGCAGTCAAGGACGGCCCAAAGGTTTGAGATCCTGCACCTGCATGGGAGACCCAGAGGAGGCTCCAGGCTCCTAGTTTCGGACTGGCTCAGCTCCTTCCTCTGCAGCCACTTGGGGAGTGAGTCGTCAGACAGAGATCTTCCTCTCTGTCTCGCCTCCTCTCTGTATATGTGCCTTTCCAATAAAAATAAATATTTTTTTAAAAAAAAGAAAAAAACTTTAAGTCTTACTAAAACCTAGGCTCACTCAAGCACAGTATGTTAGCACTGGTGTGCACAAAATTGGCCTGGAACATCTTGTCCTGACTTTAGAAGTCAAAATCAAACAGATTCCTCCTAAAGAAATTGGCCATCCATTGACCTACCTGTATGATTATCCACACAGAGAGAACAGCGGTATGCCATTCACTGACATTTTATACATATTGATCATATGTTCTAATATAATTGGCATTACCAAAAAAACCAAGCACAAGCATGATCAGAACAAATATTTAAAGAGTTGGGTATGGTGGAAGCAAGAGTCATCTGATCCATTTACCCACTTACTCATTCAACAAATATTTATGGAGTTTCTATGACCACATACTGTTTGTGGCAACACTGAGGATACAGCAAAAAAAAAGAAGAAGAAACACTAAACATATAGCAGCCCTACTCCCACTGAATTGAAGAGACAGAATATCAGAACCTCCATGGAAAATAATAAGGCAACACTGAAAAGGGGAGTGATCGTGGGTTCTTCCAGTTTATGTTTACTTGGATAAAGGCCTCTCTGATAATGTGACATTTGAACAGAGAACTCAAGGAAGAGAAGGAACAGGCCGTGGTAGAGGTGGGAGGAATTCTTTCACAAAGAGGGAACACCCAGCACAAAGGCCATAGACCTAGATGCACTGAGTGTGTTGAAGTCAGCAAGGAGGCAAACGTAGCTGGAGAGAAAGAGAGAAGACAAAGAAAAACAACAAAAGGACCAACCAACAATGCATAACCTGAGGACTCTTTATCTTCTGATTCAAACACAGGCGAAATTTAAAGCGATTGCAATGGTGCAATATTAGTGTAAAAAAAAAAAAGTTGAAAGCCTCAGCAACAAACTAGATCAAGTAGTAGAAAGACGCTGACCTTGAAAATAGGTCTTTTGACTTATTTTGACTTAAATGTGATGCTACTGGAGAGCTGGACTGCAGGGAGGGATTTGATATTCTTCAGCCAAAATGTTATGGAACTTGCTCTATACTTCAACCACAGGATACAAGGCTGAAATCAGATTACAAGGACTTAAAAAGCAAGAGAGAAAGAATTGACTGTTTTAAGAAGCTTTACTATGAAGGAAAAGAAAAGCATAGCACATTAAAATTGTTAGGAGCTTGGAATTGCAGCAGGATTTAAAACAAAAAGGACAGACTTGACCAAGCTCATGTGCTATTAGACATAACTGCCATCAATAGGCCATTAGGAGGATCAATTGGGCTTCCTGAAATTTCTACTTCATCCTTTGTGCTATTCAATAAATACTCTATACCTGACCAATAATTTTATTATTACCTTTGATTCTAACTGGGGTCATACAAAATATCTTAAAATAAATTTAATGCTTTGAAATGGAGTGTAAGAAACTCTGCCCAAGAGCTACTTTAAAAATGTTTTCATTTATTCATTTGAGGAGTGGAGATACAGCAAGTGCTTCTACCTGTTGGTTCACTTCTCAGTTGCCAACAGTGACTGGCAATAAGCCACTGCCATTGTGGTCTGTTAATTTTTACTTGTTTAGGCCCCCTCTTTAGAGAAAACATTTTGCCACCAGAAACTTTTTTTCTAATATATATATTTTAAATATTATATATTATATTTCTACTATATTACACATAATAAAATATTAATATTAATAATATATTGATATCTTGTATATTTCATATATATATATATACACACAGCCTTAATAGGCCTGACATAAGACATTAAAAGATATCATCAAAAGACTTGGTACTGAATACCATTAAGGATTAGAAATTCAAAAGGAATGAGGGAGAGTAAGGAAAGTACCTCTTGTGCCATATGGAAGTCAGTTCTGTTACAGACTGCTTGCCAAGACTGAATCATGATTAAAATCAGTATGCTAGAAACTCTGAAGAAGATTCCAAAAAAGGTCTTTGTCCTTTTAGAATTGGTGATGCCACATACAAAAGAGCAAGTTAGGCATAAACAAAGTGTGGAAGACTAAGGTAAAGAAAAAAAGGAAGGGATGGAGGGAAGGATGGAGGGAGAGAAGAAAGGAGGAAGAAGGAAGGAAGAGAGAGAGAGAAAGGAAGAGAAAGAAAGAAAGAAAAAGAGAGAAAGCAGGAGATTGGAAATAGGAAGACATTAAAAAGAATTACTGAATGCTTTACCAGAAAAGACAAAGGATGAATGATAAGCAGAGGAATGGGCAGAAAACTACAGCAAATCCTAAAGGTTGACCTCATCAGAGTAATTTATATAACGGATACTGAGCTGCAAGTCAAGCTTACCAAATACTCTGGAATAAGTTCAGATTGTGACATCAGAATTTATACAGAGGATAGCATTGTTTTTTTTATGGTTCACTTCTTTAAAAAAGAAAAATAAAGTGGCGTAGGCCATTTTGGAAGCCACAGAGTAGCACTCTTGAAAGATCATCTGGTCCCCAAAGGCATGCCTAACTCTCAGCCTCCAGCTCTCAGTGCCTAGAGGAGTTGCTTTAAGTTTCCAGCCAAGGCCTCTCGCTCTTCTGGAGCATCCCCAAGCCAATAAACGCACTTGGCAGGGGTAGTAAGAATCTGGCCATTTGTGCCACATACAAACTTACTCTTCACGATGGAGCTCCATAAACTTCGGCCAGAATATTGACAGACATAGATAACAATTGGAGGCTGTCCGTATCCGGTGCTGCTTCCTCCTACCAAACTCCTACAGGCTTGGTAGAAGCCAGGAGCTTCCAGGTCTCCCACGTGGCTGCAGGGACCAGATACTTGGAACCACTTTTCACTGCTTTCCCAAGGCCATTAGCATGGAGCTGGACTGAAAAGTGGAACAGCCAGGACTCAAACGTGGGATGCCGATACTTTAGTGCATGGCTTAATCCACTTAGCTATAATGCTGGTACCTGTAGCTTCATTTTTGTTTTGAATTGTTTTGTTTACCACCTTTGTCAGGTTACAGTAAGCCTGACACTACAAAATGTGTATTAGCTCTCCTTTGCTGTAAATTAGAAAAATGTTAACTTATCCATTATCCTTTAAATATTAAAAAGCACTTAACTGTGAAACTACTAAGACTCCATATTTTTTTTTATAGTAGATATTTAATGTACAGTTTTTCTATGGTAATTTCCCTTTTCATGCTTCACTGTTCTTGAGTCAATTGTGTTAGGAAGTTATTTATTTTAGATTTTCAAGTGTATTCCTCTTGAATTTCAGCTAGTTTATAATATTTTATTTTCTTCTATTTCAGTGATTGTCCCTATTTTCATCTCTTATAATTTTTTTTTCTGCTTTAAAATAAAGTCCACAGAAAAATTCCCTATTTTGTTAGTTTTTCCAAGAATCAACTTTTGGATTTTTGAGATTCCTGCTTTTTGTGTTTTGTTTATGAGAGCCTCAGACAGACAGCAGCTGAAGAGGGGGGGCTCCTATTCACTGCTCCTCTTCTGTGTCACACCTGCCGGTGCTCAGGGCAAGTTCCGGCCGTCGCCGTCTGCATTTAGGGCATCTGAACAAGAGTGGAAGGCAGCAAAAGGTACTGCGAATCAATGAAGACATACTACTGATGCAAGCGCATCTATTTCCCACTGGTCTCAAACTGCCTGCCCTCTTGTGTCAAACTACCACCACTAAATATCAGATTGTCAAGTCCCTTAAGTATACTGAGATTCGGAAAGGGACCGTCTTGGGGCAGTATTCGCTCAGTAATCATCTCAAGTGGCTTTTATCAGACGAACCTCTCCCATAACCCACAACCTGCAGTCTAGGGTGGGACCAGAAGGCGCTTCCACCGGGGACAGGTAGACAGTGCTTCCGCGCACGCGCCGGCGACGCCCCGCCCCTCGCAGCGGAAGGAGTTGCGGGCGTTTCCGGCGGCCGGCGGCGCTCCGGTTACCCGGGTAATGTCGTGGGTTCAAGCTGCCACCTGTGCTCAGATCCCTGCAGAAGACGGGGACGTGTTTGATGAGGAAGCCGATGAGTCGCTCCTGCAACAGCGGGAATGGCAGAATCGCATGCAGAGACGAGTCAAAGTAAAGCCGGAGGGAGGGTGAATCCCTTGGGGTCCCGGGTGTGTTGGGGAGAGACGCCCCGAGTTGTGGTCCCGAGGGATCCCAGTCTGCCCGGCGCCGCCGTCCTCGCCGCTTTGCCGCCGATTCCCCTGGGTTACGTGGAAGCACGTTGTTGCAGTGCTTGTGGGAGGATCGCAGTTTGATGGTGATGATCACGGGGAGGTCCGACTGCACCCGCCTGTGCTAATCACGGCTGTCAGAGAATGCGTGGTCAGCGTGAGGGGTGGACAGTCCAGAGGCAGCAGTAGTTTTATCCGAGATCTACGAAAAAGGGAACTTCAGAGTGTTGTCAGGGGCAGTGGGAGAAAGCTAATATGGACTATTGATGGTACGTGAGAGAATAGTAAAGCTGGTTTTGTTTTTCTATGTTGGGTTTGAATTGTTCGTCGCTCTTTGGGGCTCCCCAGTTTGTTGAGACTAAACTGAATTTCCAGGTGGAGCCCTAGTGCTTAGTTCTAGGTGAAGATTAAATGGTGTGGGGGGGCCGCATCCGCTTCATCTAATTGGCAGCGCTGGGGATCTGCCCTAAATTAATGTTTCAGTGAAACATTAGTCTACAGCCATGTTGTCAGTTACAAAGCTTTTCCATGGGAGGCCACGGCTGTATGGATCAGTAATGAGCGTTTCTGAGCGCTGTGACAGGTTTGGGATGTGCAGAACAAAGTCTCCGCCTCCCGGAGAATTTACTCGGATCTAAGCCTCGAGGAAATTTCTACAAACAGGCTTCTGGCTTCCCTTTCCTTGACACACGGTGGCCTTTCCTTACTTTGCCTTCTCTCCCATCCACGCCTGTCCAGTCCCTGCCAGAGAGTCCATGTTCCTCTCGGTGAAGACACTGAGATACTAGAAACTGTAAAATCCACACTTCAGAACAGAGGTAGGCAGTGATAAACCAGGAAGTGAAGTCTTACTTCGCTTGTGTGAATATCCTGTTTTATTCTCAGCAATGCAGTAAAAGCCCATCTCCTCAGCTTTCTAAACTGGCTCTGTGCCTCTCTAGAAAAGCCTGTGTACCTACGGTTCACTTGCTGTCAGTTCCAACTGCAGTTCTTCGCTGCCTGTTTTCAGGAAGGTTACCGAGACGGAGTTGACGCTGGCAAAGCAGTGGCTCTTCAACAGGGCTTCAGTCAAGGCTATAAAGAAGGTGCGGGAATCATCGTGAACTATGGGCAACTCAGAGGAACCCTGAGGTAATTCAAAGAAACTGAAACGCTGAATCTGGAATACTAGTTGGTTTTCATGAAGGTAGTATGTCAAAGTAAACATTTAAAGTTTTTTTTTTCTGCTGTTGCATACACAAAAGTGCTGAAGAACACAGAATATTGCCCTTAAAGAGTACAAATCATCAGTTCATCTCTTTTAAGATGTAAGAGGCCTGATGTGATGACTCAATGACTACATCTTTGCCTCGCATGTTCCAGGATCCCACCTGGGTGCTGGTTCATATCCTGGCTGCTCCATTTCCCTTCCTACTCCCTGCTTGTGACTTGGGAAAGCAGCTGAGGATGGCCCAAAACTTTGGGACCCTGCACCCATGTGGGAGACTCTGCCTTTATTGGAAAGGCAGACTTACAGAGAGAGAAGGAGACAGAAAGATCTTCCATCCACTGGTTCACTCTCCAAGTGACCACAATGGTTGGAGATGAGCCAATCTGAAGCCAGGAGCCAAGAGCCTCCTTCAGTTCTCCTACACCTGTGCAGGGTCGCAAAGCTTCAGGCCGTCCTCGACTGCTTTCCCAAGCCACAAGCAAGGAGCTGGAAGGGAAGTAGAGCAGCCAGAATACAAACTGGTACCGATATGGGATCCCAGCGCATGCAAGGCAAGGATTTTAGCTACCAGGCTACCATGCCTGACACTTAAAATAGTTTTGAAAAATTACTAGAGCATACTAGACAAGTAAAGGCAAAATTTTAAATGTTTTAACACTGAAAGAATTCTTACCTTTAAGAAAATTATTTCTGTACCTGGGCAGAACCCTCAGAGCATGTGCCACATCAGGACCCTGGGTTGATTTCAGGTGGCCTTTCCCCATCCCTGGGTACTGGGGTGGTTGGGAGGCTGGGCATGGCTCATCCCTTTGTCTCCTCCCTTCCCCCAGAAACAGGAGGAAGTAGAAAATTCGGAAACCATGATCCATATCCACTTTTCCCTAATCCGTGTTCCTTCTCATGCTGATCAACTATGAAAAAATCATCAAAAATAATTTTTTTAATTTAAGAAAATTTTTTCTAATCCAGCAAATAATAATGTATGCCATAACGAACCTGAGAAAGTGAATGTTTAAACTTTTTTTCACTAACCTTCAGTGTTGATGGCAAACAACTGGTTTTTAGTCTTTGCCACACCTTGAAATTAGTTGGGACAGTTTACAAAAAGATACCCCTCCAAAAGTTGTGCTTTAATTGGTCTGGGATAGAACCTGGGCCTCCAAAGGTTTAAAAACTGCTAAGGTGATACCAGCGTGTAACCAACATTGAGAAACACTGGTTTAGAAGCTGTTTGTCCTTAAAGAACAAACTAGTTTTTTCCATCTGTCTCCATGCTGTAGTCCTTTTCAACAGAAGTTATGTAGTGATAAGAGGAAAATTTAAAATCAGGAATGAGGGTGAAGAGTTGTGAAAGAGGGGTTCTGAATTACAGTGTATGGTGTTGAGTCCAGCTGTTGAATTTATATTGAAAAATAGCATCCCTGGATATTTTTTAATCTTATTATACCATCATTTCTTAACTGATTTTATTTCAAAAATTATTTATTTGAAATGTTGAGTTACAGTGAAAGAAGGAGAGTAACAGAGATCTTCCATGTGCTGTTTCACTTCCCAGATGGCCACAATAGCAGACGCTAGACTAGGCCGAAGCTAGGAGCCAAGAGTTTCTTCCAGGTCCCCCACATGGGTCCTGGGGGCCATGGACTTGAGCCATCCTCCACGGCTTTCCCATGTGCATTAGCAGGGAATTAGGTCAGAAGTGGAGCAGTCAGGACTCCAACCAGCACCCACATGGGATTCAGGCCCTGCATGCTGAGGCTTAGCTTGCTATGCCACAGTGCCATCCCTTTCATTAACCCATTTTTATGTGGAGGAGAGACATGCAGAGCTAGCATCAAACATTGTAAAAGCCTGTGGTTGATTTTTTTTTCTGGTTTGTGTTCTCATCCAGTGCTTTGCTCTCGTGGTGTCACCGTCATGATAGCGGCTCAGCTTTCATCAGTAACTTCAGCCGTCTTCTGGATGCAGTTGGACAGTGTGAAGAGTGTGTGCTCAAGCATCTGAAGTCGGTCAGGCAGCAGCCCAGCGTTGTGGACATCCTGGACTCCATGGAGGACATGGACCTGTGTCATGTGGTTCCAGCTGAGAGAGAGACTAATGACGCTGAGAATGAAGGACTGACTCATGAAGACATTGTTGAGGGTAGCAAAATCTGCAGCGAGCATCCCAGTGGGATGCACAGCTCAGATTCAAAACACAGTAGCACCCAGGAGCATGCGTGTTCTGAACACCCAGGCTTCACTTGGATTTTAGAACAGACAACCAGTTTAGTGGAACAGCTGGGACTGTCAGTGGATGTATTACAACACCTCAAGCAACTGTAAAAATCAGCTACATGTTTCTAATGAAAATAGCATTCGCAACATTTTTAGGGCCTTTTGTGTCCTAACGAGGTAACCAAAACGTGAACTGAATTCCACACTTTACCTGCCGGATTATCCTTCAAGAAAACTTAAAATGTCTTCAAAACTGACACTTTTAAATATAACATACTCCTTTTATTTTTTGTCACTGGCAGGTTTTTTTTAATTTAAGGCATTTTGAGGCTGGGGTTGTAGTCCAGCAGGTGAGTTGCTGCTTGCAGCACCAGCATCCCATATGAGCACCACCTCTTAGCAGCACCCTACGGATGTGCGTGGGAAAGCAGAAGGTGGCCCAAGTGCTTGAGCCCCTGAACCTGCATATCGGAGCAGATGGGTTTCCACGGTTCTGACTTGGGCCTGGCCCAGGCCTGGCAGATGCAGGAATCTGGGGAGTGAACCAGCTGATGGAAGATCTCAGTCTCTGTACTCCTGCCTTTCAAATAAATAAACACATTTTTTTAAGTGTTGAAAATTCTAGTTAGTATTGTCATTTTCAAATTTCTGACTAAAATCAAGCCTTTTCAGACTTACTAGATAAAATGAACAAGAATCACATTTTATAAAAACCTAACCCTATGTGTTCTGGTCATTATCAGGTGGTCAGGATCTTATCACAAGCTAGGCAGCATAAACTATTAAAAAGTAATCTAATGGTTAACATATCTATATATATACACACACATTTATATGTGTACATACAATGGTATGTATGCATATATGTATATACAAAGGTGTATGTAATATACACAGGTATGTGGATATATGTTGAAATTAAGAGACTGAGAAACTGAAGAAATGTTTATGGTGCTGATAAAATGACTAAAAGCAAAATATTAAAATTTAGGCTTCATGTTTAAGGACATTTAATTCCATGGAAAATGCAGAAAATACGTTTCATGTTCTAGTCTAAAGAAGGAGTTTTCCCAAGGAGTGAGGATTTGGAAGTGCCGCATAACAACATGGCAGATCATGTCTCAGCTGCAGCTCTGCCTTGTGCTCACACGGGCTTGCATCATGGCTCAACACGCTAATCCTCCAGCCTGTGGTGCCAGCATCTCAGATGAGCACTGGTTCCATGTTCCAGCTGCTCCATTCCCAGTCCAGCTCTCTGTAGCCTAAGAATCCAGTGGAGAATGGCCAAGTCCTTGGGATCCTGAATCCACGTGTAGGACCCTGAGGAGGCTCCTGGCACCTGCTCAGCTCAGCTCTAGTCCTTACAGTCATTTGAGGAGTGAACAATCGGGTAGAAGGACTTCTCTATCCCTTCTCTGTAAATCTGCCTTGCAAATAAAAAAATAAATCTTTTTAAAAATATAAAGAACTTCCTAGGGTGCAGAAGAATATTAATGTGTGCTCATTAACATCTGCTTTCCCTAAAAGTGAAGTAAAGAAGCCTTGCTTGTCCTTTGCTTTGCTTCATAGTGTAAGCCTGCCCGATCTTCCCATGAAGAAACCCTAGATGAACATGAATGGTACAGAAGATTGCCACGGAGCTGGCACAGCTACAATTTCAAGACTTAGGATTTGGATGTTTGAGTGATGTGGCTGGCTTCCTTTGAAATTTCACCTAAAGTTATTTGTGGGTGGTGACTTCAAAAAAGCGGGGAGGAGGTGCCCACAATAATATGCTTTTCTGACATTTCTGCTTCTAAGACTCAGAGCATCTTCCCTCCAACCCACCCCTGCCTTCACCAGATCTAAACAGGAACTGGGCAGCTAAATTCAACTGCTTTACTGCTTTATCTCATTTACAGCCATGCATTACTCAACAGTGGTGATACGTTCCAGGAGTTGCATCATAGGTGATTTTGTCTTTGTTGTGAACATCACAGGGTGTTCTTAAGATGGAGGTGATATCACTAGGCTAGACCGTCTTCTGGGGCCACCACTGTGTATGCCGTCCACGTGCGCCCAGGGCAGATGCCCTCGGCATTGCCCAGTGACTGCTTTAGTGCTCAACCAAAATAAGAACCTCAACCCAAGTCCAGGCTGTAATTCTCACTGCTCAAATCTGAGAGTTTGACTTATTTTTAAATTATTCTTCATTTCAGACCAGTTGCTGAAGTCACCATATGCTGTGTGAATAAATCGCCAATCAGACTTGGTGCAGTACAGAAATTCTCAGATCTCCACCTGGACCACACTTCTCCCTAGCTTCTTGCCTTCCAGTGCTCTCAATGCCTTTTCCCCACAGACAGCCTGGAGAAGCCTGTTGCTGCCGATCGCTTACCCCCCTTCACTTCAGCTTCAAGTAGCTTTCTGCCAAGGTCACGAATAACAAAAGGCACACAAAAGTCCATCGCTGGCTTTTTCCAAAATTGGACGTGAACCATCGCCTTCTCTTACAATCCCTTCTGCTTCTCTGCGGCCTCACTATTTCTTATCCTTCACTATGATTTCACTAGCTTTCCTCGGCCCCTTGAGCATGGGTTCCCTAGAGTTTCATTCTTGGACCTCTTTTCACTTTCATACTCAAACCAGATGCTTTTCTTACTCCCGTGGTTTCAATTAAACTAATCATCCCAAAGCCACTATGTCAACCCCTCATCCCTTTCTCAAGCTGTTGACCTCAACTTCCCGCTGCTCATTTCTTATGCTTATCTCAACCGCTTAGAACACACAGCTTGTCTAAACCTGACCTCATTCCTTTCCCTTCCTGTCCACTTCTTTTTGTATTCTCAGTCTATTAATGTAATCCCTTCCATCCAAATGTTTTCTAGCTTCTCGGTTTTTCCATTGCCATTACTCCCTATTTACAGCTGAACATTTTCAGGAGACTTTGACATCTTTCAATCAAATTTTGATTGAACTCTTGTGCCAGTCTTTATCTCCATGAACAATACCTCTGATGTAGCCCTCTTCTCATTCATTCTCCCTCGACACCAGAATCATCCTCAAAAACAATAAACAAGATTACTGTGTTTTAAGCCTGGATTTATTCCAATGCTTCTACTGGGTAAATTGCAAGCTTGGCTTTCAGTTCTGGTCCAAGCAGCACTGTGGGTCATGTTTCCCATGCTGCCTCCTCGCCCATTACGCACATACTGCACTGCACTTGTTTATTGACAATATTACAAGGTTTTAGGGGCAGACTAGATACTCCCAACTTTTAGTTTTTACTCATTGCTAATTCCTCTGTCCTGAATACTGCATTCTGCCTCCTCTTCAGTCCCTGCTTTTTCTTAAATATCAGCATGATGCTTCACCGTTGAGAGAGGTCCTGAGTCTGGATCCTTTTCCCAGGAGCTGTTGAGTTAGCTCAGGGCCGCTAGGTGGTGCCAATGCACCCTGCTGTGTCAGTACAAGTTCCTCTGCTGGGACTTCACAGACCCAGGGACAGAAGGAAAGAATTGCCCCTAAATGCTGCCCCAAACATAGTCATTTGTATCATTATTGGGTGAGAAGCATTTTCTGAATATGTCAACATACAAGAAATTAGCTTGCCCCGACCCCACCTTTTAAATTCTTAGGCTAAGTACTTTTTTAAAATGAACATAATTGTGGAGAAACATATTCATAAAGAAAAAAACACCTTTTAGTCTCCAAATCCCTGAAGTCTTCAAGTAAACACCTAGAACCTAAGGCATAGTTTCTCAAGTGTAAAGGGTCTCTAGTTCCTAGGCAGGACTGTGACAAAACTTCTAATCTCAGTGGCCTAGTGGCTAAAGTCCTTGCCTTCAACACGCAGAGATCCCATATGAGCACTGGTTCTGATCCCGGCAGCTCCACTTCCCATCCAACTTCCTGTTTGTGGCCTGGGAAAACAGTCAAGGATAGCCCAAAGCCTTGGGACCGTGCACCTGTGTAGGAGACCTGGAGGAAGTTTCTAGATTCTGGCTTCAGATCAGCACAGCACCAGCCATTGCGGTCACTTGGGAGTGAATCATCAGGTGGAAAATCTTCCTCTCTGTCTATCCTCCTCTCTGTATTTCTCACTTTCCAATAAAAATAAACTCTAAAAAAAAGAATTTGATCTAAGGAAATAAACAAATGATTAAAAACTTTCAGCCCACAGATGCTTGTTACTACATTTCTGTAGTATTGAGATAACAGCAACAATCTAAATGACCAGCAACAAAAATTTCTTAAGTAAGTTATATTAATATCCACTCAAATAAATGGTACATTATTGTGAAAACTATAGAAACAAGGAAATGTTTATGGCATATTCGTGGATCAAATAAATTACAAAATGTTATAAGTATAAAAATGTGTATTTTAAAGATAAAAATTGGGCCCGGCGCAATGGCGCAGTGGTTAAGGTCTTCGCCTTGCACGCCCGGGATCCCATATGGGCGCCGGTTCTAATCCCGACAGCCCCGCTTCCCTTCCAGCTCCCTGCCTGTGGCCCGGGAAAGCAGTCAAGGATGGCCCAAAGCTTTGGGACCCTATACCCGCATGGGAGACCTGGAAGAGGCTTCGGATCGGCATAGCATTGACCATTGCGGTCACTTGGGGAGTGAATCATCGGACAGAAGATCTTCCTCTCTGTCTCTCCTCTCTGTATATCTGCCTTTCCAATAAAAATAAAATAAATCTTTAAAAAAAAAAAGATAAAAATTAGAAAATCATTCTCTGATATGGTCGTTATTGCATTGATGTAGTAGGAGTAGAAGGATTTTTTCCAAGAGTATTCTATCTTTTTTCTAAAAGATTTATTTATTTTCATTGGAAAGGCAGAGGAGAGACAGGATCTTCAATCTGTTGGTTCACCCACCAAGTGACCGCAACAGCTGGAGCTGAGCTGATCCAAAGCCAGGAGCCAGGATCTTCTTCTGGGTCTCCCACACAGGTGCAGGGTCCCAAGGCTTTGGGCCGTCCTTTACTGCTTTTCCAGGCCACAGGCAGGGAGCTGGATGGGAAGTGGAACAACCAGCACAGGAACCAGACACTATAGGGATGCTGGCACTGCAGGTGGAAACTCAGACTACAATGCATGGCACCAACCCTTTATTTCTTAATCTATGCATAGTCAAAGGTAAATCCCAGGGGAAGTAACAGAGCTATGGAGTTACTAAAAACAATTCATATTTGTCTTTATGGCTTTTCACACCTTCCTTACAAGATTTTTGCTTCAGTTGATATTAAAGTTTATTCCATACATGCATTTCAAAACATTTTTGCACCAACACAAA